CCTATCCCCTGTGTGCCTTGTTATGAAATTAGTGAGCCCAACCTAAAGGACTAGACAACAAACATAAAATTACTGTTTTCTTTGGATATTTTAAGGTGTCCATTATCAGGTTTAATGGCAAGAATGCATTCAAGATATGTTACTATATAATAAAACCAAGTACCATATTATCCCTAGTAAAAAACTTGACCAAGTCTAAAGAAAACATACATATACACACACACACACACACATATATATAACATAAATCCACTTAGGAAATATCGGTACCCCATGAAACCTGTTTTAGTATTGGATGTGTTGAATCTCGTATTTTGATGATGAAACCACTTGCTATTTGTTTATGATTTAATCTGCGTTTTGAGTGACGTAAGATGCTTCGATCAGGATAAGACAGTTAAAGTAGGAAAATCATGTTGTGCCGAAGGAACATGTCAGAAGATTGGATGTCGGGCCGGTGGATCGGTCGACGTATCGACAGAAGGCTTCGGGCCATAGATTCGGGCATCGAGCCAAGAAGAGCGGGTATTGCGCCAAGGATATCGGAGTTGCGGAGTCAACTGGCCGATTGGGCAATAGGCCGCAAGAGAGGACGATGTGCCGAAGAATCGGACGAAGCGTCGAGGAACCAATGACATGCCGGACAACTTGATTAATTGCTTATGAGTAATTGTCTAGATCGAACTTTTGTTTTTCATATGCAGGATTAACTACGATAGCTTGAAGACATAAAGCAAGTCTACCGGAGTCAAGTTTGATGGGTGTTCGAGAGTCCGAAGATTCGTCGGAGATGCTGCCGGAACCAACCGAAAAGAAATCGGGGACTTGTTGGAGTTTTCGGAAGTCCGCCGAAGAGATCGTCGAAGGTTCGCGGAGATCACCGAGAAAGCTCGGCTACTCGCTGAACTCGCCACAAGATCGGGAGCCTGCTGGGAGTCCGCCGGAAGAAATTCGAGAGTGTATCGGAAGTCTGCCGAAAGATCGCTAGAAAGCTCTCCGGAAGGAGACTCGACGTTTGTCGGTTGAAAACTTGCTTAGGACTATGTTTCAGTTACGTAGTTTGCATGTAATTAGGGTTAGGATTAAGGGATAATCCTATATCCTGGTTAGGGGCCAACTGGGCCCGATATTACCTAGTTTGGGCCAGATTTGAAGCCCATCTAGTGACCCGTAGGACCGGGCGGTGGAACCACCGGATTGGGCGGTGGCACCGCCCAGAACCCAAGAGGTCTGGCGATGGCACCGCTAGTACACTATCAGTGTCAGACACTGATAGGCGATGGCACCGCTAGCACCGGGAAACCCAAAAGCAATTCAAATTTAGAGCCAAATTTGAATCCTTTTAGGGCCTATAAATACCCCTCAATTCTCAACAGAGAAAACAACCTTTGAGAAGTTAGAGATTGAGATAAAGCCTTAGCAAGTCTTGTTTTCAATTGCTTGAGTGTTCACCTCCCTCTTTCTCTTTGAAAATCTGTAAGAGTGTGAACCACTTGTAAAAGGTTGTAAGAGGGGTATTTGTCCTTCCCCTTCAAAGTGATTTGCTAGTGGAAGTTGGGAGCCTCATCGAAGAAGGCTTCCCAAGTGGATATAGGTCATTTTGACCGAACCACTTTAAATTGGTGTATTCCTTGAATGTGTGAGTGTTTACCTTTCTTAAACCGTTATTTACATAGCAGCAAGCTTTCGGGTTTTATCTTCTCATTTTACTCGAGCTACTTTCACCAAGTCATTCATTGTCGAATCGAAATCTCTACGCATTTACGAAATCGTTTTCAAACTTATGAGTTTTAATCCGCTGCACTAATTCACCCCCCCCCTCCCCCTCTTAGTGTCGTTCCGATTCTAACAGGTTGGACATGTTGCTAGTGAGATCTCATTTGAGCTTATACAGCACCGAAAATATCTGTGAATCTATAAAATTTTCATATTAACCAGCAGAAGGCAACTTTAGGCTCAATACTTTCTACACTATTAATGCAGATTCAAACATTTATTTCCTACCAAACTTGAACAATCAAACAAATCCCTTCCTACCAAATTACAAACCATAATCATTTCTCCGACGGCCCTCCGCATTGCAATTGTAAGAAGAAAAATGGCTTGTATGTTAAACTAGAATTATGGGGATAGAGAAAAATACCTTGCAAGGCCAATTCTCGCGGTAGAAATGGCAGACAACACGATCGCTGGCCTTGACAGCGACGAAGAATTCCTTCTCGGGGATCTCAGTGTACTCACCGTGGCCCAGGGAGAGCCAGCGGCTCCGCTTCTCAGCCATCTTCTTCAGCTGCTGCAACCTGCGCTCCCGCAGGGCCTCGAAGTCGTCGAGGTCCAGCCGATCGAGTGCCGCAATTTCGCCATCGATCTTGTCCTCGACGGCCCTGGCCACGGTCAGCACTTGCTGCTCGAGGATCTGAAAGAACCCTAGAAAACAATCACGACTCCTCTCCAAAATAACCAAAAAGACCAACAAAAGAGATCTGGCGTTTCAGATGTATCGATAACCTGCTTCGCGTGACTTTCGTCCATGAACGAATCCAATTCTATCCCTAGCTCTCGAGATCGAGGATCGTAGGAGGGGATGGTTGAAGGCTCTCTCTCTCTCTCTCTCTCTCTCTCTCTCGTATATATACGCAGGTCCTCCAAATTTTCTTTTACTTTATTTTTTCTTTATAGAAAATGTTTCTGAGACGTGCCAATACATATCGTGATCACTAACACTACTTTTGATGCACAATCCAAATCATTGATGAATTACGGGAGCGAATCGTGACTGTTGATAATTTGACGAACCTTAAGCACACATCTTGAGTGACTACTTATCATCTTTATGGAGATCTATCATGACCGTTCATCTAATCATAACTCGATAACAGTTAGAACACTTAACAATGTGATCCTCACCGTTCACAGTGAGGAAAAAGCCCACCTTCCAGGGCCACACGAACGGTTCTTAAATGACCGCGGCAGCCTGCAGAAGATTTGAATGGGTTCATCGTATCATCAAACTCCAGTAGCTGATTGAATAAAGAAATGATGTCAAGAGAAAGGATGAAATAAATACTCTAAATTACATTTTCCAAAAATGATCAAAATTCTGAAAGAGCAGATTGAAGTGTGCACAACATGCACGCACTGCTAAAACCAAGAAAGAAATGCTATCAAGAGAGATATATATCATACTGTGTAATACTTTTAATCATAAACAAAATTCCACAAAGATCATATCAATTGTTCACACATGGACTCGCTGTTAAAACTATGGGCAGCTAAGAGCAGCAGACAAATGCTTGGATTGATGTAATGGATAGTTTTATTCCCCTTAGACAACAGATGAATAAATCAAGATGTACAGTAGGATGTAACGACACTGTCATGGCATCATAGTGGCAACTGAGGTTCCAAGAAATTGAAAGGAAACCCAGAGGCCCACGTCCACTTCTTTCCTCAGTGGAAGTGTGAGGCCATGCAAATCTAGTCCAAGGGAGATGGGACTGATGTTGTCTTGGTTAGGCAAATCCAGTAGTGTCTGCTTCTTGGTTAGAACAAATTCTCCTAGATCTTTGGTCAATCAACCTCCCCAAATGCAGAATCAAATCACTGAACATTATCACTACCATTTTCTTCATTATATAGCCTGTTATGCTCAACTAGGCAAGCTGAGGGTGGCTGTAGCTTCTCACCTGGTGCAAGATTGCTGTTGCTCCTAAAGATCAATGGCACTGGTCGTCCGTCCTTGCAAACTGTTGTTCCTCGTTCCTATCTTGACTAACAGATGCAGAATCAGGGAATTTGTCATTGTCGATTTGCATGAAGCTAGCTCCATTGCAGCAGGGAGCTGCTGATCTGAACTCTATGCTCTCATCTGCAGAACTACAAGCATATTCAGCAGAACCATTGCAATTGACTCTACATTGATGTTCAGATTTCTTAGGTTCTCTCTTCATGTCTGAAGATTTAGCATAAGACTTCTGCAGGAAGCTACGAGTTACAAAGGGCATATCACCTGAAATAATATTTTCACCAGTCTCAGTGGACTCTGCCAGTCCAATGTTACAATGACCATTGGAGTGACCATTCTGCTTGTTGACATCAACAATTGGGTGTTTATGATTTTGCTTTTCTTCTGTACTATCCAAAGTCTTCTTTCTTGCAGGCTTATCAAGGAAACCACGGGAAAACACTGCCTTAGATTTTCCACTTGATCTATTTTCCTGACTTGACAACAAAGCCATGCTTCCTTCACTATCAACTGAGGCTCCATCCAGACGGTTAACTTCAAGAGACGAATCAAATTGGCTGTATGTTTCCACTGGACGATCTGATTCGGCAAATGAATAATCTGAAGGTTCTGAAACTACACTCGCAGTAGTAATGGGAGTAGTGGAACATGGCTCAATAATCATATCATCATTAATCTGCATAGTGGATGGTTCTCTAGTTGGCTCACCATCTTCTACGATATGGCTTGCATCATAACTGGCACATGGTTTTTGACATTTTTCAACATCAACTTTATTTTCAGAATTTTCTGGATGATTATCTAATTGCATGCTCTCCCCACTAGAGTAGTCAGGCATAGGAGAGAAAAGACCAATACTCTCTATTTCAAGACTCTTTGCAGTTGCTGAACTTGATGATGAATTACAGAAATCTAGATCTCCTAAACTTTTATGGACACTTGCTGGTTTTTCGACTAAAGGTGTATTCAAGACCATAACATCCACTTCTGTGACCTTTGCAGGATCGACATCATCTGTTAATTTTCTCTTGTTCCTTGTATCTCTAAACATGGAAAGTTCAGGAGGACTTGATTGGTTATCTATGTCAGACCCCAGGCAGGAAACACCGATGGGGCTTGATAACTTGGGAGCTGACTCAACTAATTGCTTTGTATTCTGAGATTGCACATGCTTAACAAAAGGCTCCTTGCGTGCACTTGTCCTAAAAATAAGAATTATGTGAGAATTATTCATAATAATTTTATGAATTGATGAAGGTAAAACAACTAATCAGATGAATCAAAGAAAGTTGGGACAAAAAAATCATCATGATAAGTGAATTTAACAGATAAACCAACATAAATTTCACCTTTTACGAAATATGTTTATTTAATTGCTTAGACATATCCTATTGCATGATCACTAAGAATCTGTTCCTGTATGTAAGAAATCACAGCAACATCCCTAGGCAAATGCACCAACAAATTGTTGGGTAATATACTAACTGAAATTATAATATAATATAATTAAATTTAACAAACTATACAATGCAAGAATAGTTCAACAAACCTTGTTTATATATTCTCACCTATTACTACACTAGAATTCTTAAATACCACATTTTTACTCTGATTTTGAGTATCAAAGGAAAACAAATAAAACTTTTACCTGCTGTATAAGAGCATATAAGCGCCTTCAGAAAGTACATCCTCCACTTCAACGTTTGTCACCTGGAATATGATATTAGTAAAGCCAAAGTATCAAAAAACCTAAAACTGAATAAAAATATATGAAATTACCTTGCAGTCATCAATCTTGTACCATCTTCCTTGGTAATCTTTAGTGTAACAAATATAGTGGCCAAAGAATGAAGCATTTAGCATGTCCACATGAACAACAACAGCATAGAGTGTATATAGGTCAGTTCCATCACTACTGCCACTCATATAGGGAGTAAGATTCAAGTTCTCAGGAAAAGTAACTCTCTTATTCAGTTTACCAAATCTACCACTCTGTACAATTATAAAAAAGGAGGTTCAGTGTCACTAGCACCCACAAAGTGAAACAAGATGCACAATGTCCAAAGATAATATAACTTTAAAATAAAAAAAAACTGACCTGGAATCTCTTCAGAGCAATTGTAAGGATATTTGGAGCTTGATGAACTGTAAGGCGTTTACATGCTTTAACATAATCGTTGCATCTGTATACAAGAAAATTAGTTTAATTAGAACAAATAATAATCAGTTCTTAGTTTATTAACGAGAGTTTATGCCTAATAAGTTGGACAGGTATCAAATAAAATTCTTGCAGCAAAGTCTATTTCTACAGCATGCTTGTAGCTGTAGTTTTAGAGGACTATATAGGAATGGTAGATGCTGCTCTTTTAGACAACAAAAACACTATATGGAAATGCTAGATCACAAACTAAATTCATAAGTTCCATTTGTATTTGATTTGGGAAAAAGTTGCAAAAGTATGGATGAAAAGACGATTTGGCCCTCGACGATTTAGGCATAAAGGTAATTGCATTGTAGGTACTGCAAATTCTCTCATGCACTTATTGGGACTATCTTATGATGCTCTATGTTAAGTACAAAACCTTTTAAAACTCTGTACAAAGATCAAAAGAATTATGGTTATTGACACAGTAGAGTGTCAACGCTTTACAGGATAGGCATCCAATCCCGACTCTATTCATACAAACAATCAGAAAAAAGAAAGGTCACACTAAATTATCATGACTATATGTTGATGTTTTCTGTATGTAGTGGTGCTCCTTTCTTCTCAGATTCATAAATGTTAAGTGGTTAGTCAGAAAATTGCATTCAGAAATCTTGTGCTTTTGACAAGTTGATAGACCAGGCAATCTTCTGCAATCTATAACCATAACAAATGAATTCAAATTCTAAAATCCAATCTACAATTCATGGAGCAGTTAACAATATTCTTCTGAAGAACAAAATAAACAAAAATAAACAGAAAAACTAGTTTAAACCTACAGATAGAAGACACTAACAGAGCTGTCACCCCACAAACAAGGAAAGGAAAAGAGATACATGCACATAGTGATGACCAAAGGCATACGATACCGTACATCAGTTATTCGCGTCACAAATGCCATTCATTAACATAGAAAGCATACATATGATAAGCAACCATAGTTCAAACTTAAACCCATTAAGAAATGTAACTTCAACAGCTAGAGGGTTCAGATATTTGAAAACAGTGAGATGTAATCTCAATATATGGATGAAGAATCATCCTAAGACAAAGTTCTTACGCAGATTGTATAAAAGATATACTATAAAATAACAAATCATACTACTTATGAGCAAATCAGAAATGCTTACCCATCACACTTATACTTGTTATCCCCATCAAGCCACTCCTTCATCGTAAATTGATCTAAGCACTCCTCCAAAGATTCAGCATCACCAAGAATTTCAACAGTCAAATCCATCATATTCTCATAGCGATTTGAAATAGTATTGCATTGTGTACAAGTAACCTGAGGTTAATTTGTGTCAGTGTATGAATAATGTATTCACACAAGAACTGGCATTAGACATTTAAGCTTAAGAACTAATTTTTGGTTCAACCAGTATACAAAAAAAGAGTAAATTTAATTATATATCAGCAAGCAGATGAAAAAGAACCATTACAATGCATAGGCAAATAACATAGGCAACACCATATGATGGATCGATATGGTATCAGAGAATAGCTTAGGCCACTAGGTGAGCTAATTAATATGAAATTGTTACATTCTGTTACATATAAAAAGGACGAAGGTGCAAAAGACACCCATCAATGCAGGATCCATGCACTACAGATAAAGAAGTTGTTTCTGTAACTCCAACCCTGGTCAGCAAGGTTGGAAAGAATCAATCTTACCTTTGTACCAAGGACAGCCCTCAAGTATTATGTTACATATGTTGTCAAATGTTAGCATATGTAGTTCAGAGAATTATCACTATGATATGCTTAACTTTTGTAGGATGAACATTAACAAACAGAATACTTCTAAGAAAAATTATTTTAGTTTGCAAAATGAGCACCAGCTCATGCATAAAACACAATGCAAAAATTTACATATGGGATTGAGTGATAATGTAGCTACATATCTTCCTTGATATATTTTGACCTTATGCTCAAAGTTTGAAATTTCGTACCGTACTGATGTATCGAGCAAATTTCGTACCGTACTAGTGTATCGAGCTTTGCTCGATACAGTATAACATACTGAGCGGTACATCAAGGCGTATCGAGCGGTACACCTATTTATAAATATATATATAATATAAATAATTATATATATATATATATATATATATATAAATCGATATATATATATTTTTTAAAAAAATATTTTAAAAAAAGGTGTATGCAACCTCGGCGACGTCACCTCCTCCTCTTCTTCTTGTCGTCTCGTTTGCGGCATTCGGCAAAGAAGACGACGAAGACGTCAAAAGTCGCAGATGTCTTCGGCCTTTGGCGAAGAACGCAACGAAGGTCGCAAACGTCTCCAGCCTTCAACAAAGAACACGACAAAGAAGAAGGTCGCAAAGTCACGGACGAGGCGATGAAGGAGACCGCTTCCGCTGCTCTAGCCGCCGCCTCACCTGATCCCCGTGCCTCCAGATCCTCCTCTTTATGACTCTCCTCGCTGTTACCTCTTGGGTCGAGATTGTCGAGCGAGGGCGGTACTAAATCGGGATTGAGAAAGGGCGTGGAAACAAGTTTGCGTCGAGGTTCTGTTGATTCTCCCTCTTCTTCGAATGCCCGCTCCTTCTTCCTTATTCGACGCTTCTCCCTCAGCCAGGTTGATACCGCCTGGTAGCAAGCGATTGCTGCCCGAAACAGCCTCGTATCATTCGATACAGGGCTATATTGAGCGGGCCGATACCGGGCGGTACGATTCGAAATCGCAAACCTTATGCTACATTTTCATCAATGTGATTATGTGAATATGTAAATTTTACATAGATATGGTGCACCAAAAAGTGTTGGGATAGACATCATAATACTCTCTAGGCTTGTTTCAACCAATGAGATGGTATACTGGCTGCTTGTTTTAACATTAGCATAACCATGTGCACCCAACCCTTGACATGAATATTATATTTCAACACTTCAACGTAAAGAACTTCAATCCAATATTATGAAATATTTTGAGATTGAAAAAAACCAACCGAACAAGAATGAAGACAAGAAAAAGAAAGGCTTGAATGATTGATTTAAGAATATTATACACCATGTAGATCTGAAGCTAAAATTTTATTAAACAAATTCATCATTGCAATTTCATCAGGTAATGTGAAATTATCTAACATTTGGAAAGAAATTCAAATTCCAGTAATATGCAAGCAAATTCCAGCAATAACATTACAGATTATTGAGCATCCGACCTGAGACTGAAGATGACCACCAAAAATATGCTGAATAAGGGTTGTGTCTTGGGTGCTGGGATCAAGTGCCTTTTCACCTCCAAACTCATCAAGGCAAACAGATTGCATTGTGTCAATTGCAAACCTAGAAGTAGCATGATCAAGTCAATGAAGACTTCTTAACTACATAGTTAGCACTACAGGCAGAGGCCATCAGAACAAAATAGTAGGTAAACTAAGGTCCTGGAGCATTTTCAAGATAAAGCAAGGTGAAGCACCTCATAAATTCATGAGCATCCTCCTGTCTTCCATAGCCAAGGTTTCCACCAATGTTAGGCAACCGAGAAAGGATATTGATAGGTGAAAAAGGATGCCGACTTTCACTAGCTCTCTTAATGTGTAATTGAAGCTCACATAGAAAGCACCAATCATTCTGCTTTCTGACACCTAAGAAATAAGAGGTGGCAAACATAAGCAATTGAATCACAGAGTAATCAAAAGCCTGCTCAGAGTTAGCCACTTACATTCTCTAATGTGGCCTCTCTCTAATAAATAGGCAACAAGCGGCCGTGTACATGCCAGACATTGTAAAACCACATTAGCAAAGCAACTGCACAAAAAGAAGAAAACAAAATGATTACGATGGTTATCAAATATCCTAATTGTTAGATGTCAATAAGTAGAAACATCAATACCATCAAGCAAAAAAGAACCAGAAATATTATTGACCTGTTCCCACAATTCACAAGCCCACAAGGTGGAAATCCAGGGTTATCCCAGTTGAAAAGCTTCACAAATTCATTGTACGGGAAAAGAATCTGAAGAAAGCACTCACTGTTAACACAAAGTAACCAATACCAGCAACAAGGTGAATCTATAAGGCTCAGTAGAAAAAAAAATCACCTTCTTCGGTTCTTGTAGGATATTACAGGTTCCACGGGCAGGGACCAAAGAAATAGAACCAAACCCAGATGATTTTCTTCTTCTGCAAGAACTGTTACCTGGTGAAACATTGTCTACCTTATCTGGCTCTGATGACTTCAATTGTTTGCATTCAAACTTATGATCTGCTCTCCAATGCTTTGACTGGCATGCTTGTGAACTGAATACGAAAAATATATTTTTCTCGTAAGCTTGTTAAATTATGCATTAAAAAATTACATGATAAATATAACAGTGGGAAAAAGAACGATAAGGTACTGCAAATGACAACATCAGACTATGTATAAACATTACTAGAAAAGCAAATAATAAGATATGTGTTACAACATCCATGTTGCATTAGAAACAAAATCTTGACTTCTCAGTAGTTGGTTTATAAAATTTATTTTAAAGATTAAGTGTCATAGAGCATGCATAACACATAATAATTTTGTAAATGGAGCAAAGAACCCAAAACTTATTGAAAAATTTTGAAGACTTAGAAGATACATAAGAAAAGTAAGCAGCAAGTGGAACTACACATGAAAAATGCAACCAAAGAACAGCCAGGAAAGAAACCTGGAATCAGTTCAAAACTTTAAACATTGAGGATTGTGTCATGGCCCCAAATAACTGTGTAAGAGCCCGATATCACTCATATTGTGTCCCAAACTTTGCAGTCTCCACCTTTTGAATTACTACGTGAATTCATTCCATACTAAACTAAAGATCTTTGTGTTACATATAGAAATAGAGGCTTACCAAGTGGCATTCTAGGCAATTTAGCATAGGTCATTTGAGGACAACTCCAGAAGATGCAGGGCTACCTCAACTAAGCTAGCACAAAAATGCTTTCTCCCATAGAGCCCAAACACTCAGCGACAGGAATCCCACAAAATATTAGGAAAAAAAGGAGATATCAGAATGAATTGGCAATGACTTGCTGTTCAATTTTTTTTCTGTCCAATCAAACCGCTAAATAAGTGTGAAGTTCGTTTTCATATCAAATCATATGGACAATCACTCTAAATGAGCCTTTCATTCCCTCTAAAACCCTTATGAGAACCAAGAATGAGCACTAATCAATCTATGAACTTCGAAGAACAAAAATTGGTTCTTTGAACCTTAACATCAGAGGACTGAGACTGGAAGTATCTTAACTAAAAGGACAATAATTCTTCTAATGAAAGTAGTTACAAAATTAATACTCAACTTCAGAAAGTACAGGAAGACTAAATTAGCTTTACACCTGCACAAGTAAATAGTGAATCATCAGATAAAATGGGAAGACTTGACACTAGTCTATGTCACAACATAATTTAAGTCAACTACAAACTCGCTCTGACCCATTAGTCACACCAAAAATTTGTTAAAAGAGGCATGACACCAAAAATTTATTAAACACACTACTAGCTTGTTTACATCCATAGTGTTAGTTTCAGACTGAAACAAATGAAACTTCCATAGACATATCTTCAAAATAAAACTACATACTTAAGAGTGGTATGCATTTCTCTCTTTATTATTTGGTTGAGATTGAAGATTGAAACTCTTAAGACTTGGACCGTGATGACCCAAATAATCGGAATGTTAGAAAATTAAACCTCGGTATGTTTTGATGTGAATAACTGATCTTGATAAGACCTTCCGTAAGGATCAAAATCACTAATGAAGATTGCAGTGATTAGGAAAAGGGATCAGTCTAAGGACCGTCCGCCTAGCAAAGAAATCAAGAAGTTATCTGACGTTTTTCATGAATCATGAAGCAACCGATTATTTATCTTTAAACTAAAATGACAAAAAATCATAACGAAAATATATAATTGTACAGTTCATCCGAACCAAGTAGATAATTTATTTTCGGACGAGAAGCCCAAATCGACGTCAAAACCAACGCGAAAAAGAATCTGCAAGCCACCTACCAATACCGAACCCTCTTGCATCCCGAGCACTTCTTGCTCCCCGGTTTCCCACAAGTAGCGCAGGCGCCGCCGGCGGGAGCCGCGCCTTCCCCGCCCGCATCGCCGTTGCCGATCGACATCGAACGCCGCGGCTCGTACCCGGAGGAGCCGGCCTCGAAGCTGGCGTCGACCACGAAGTACCTGGATGCGGCCCGCTTCACCACGAGGAGCGCCCCAGAGAGGGTCAGCAGCAGGGCGAACGCGAATTGCAGCACGGCCGAGAGATCCAGCGCGGGGAGGGCGGCGCCGAGCATCTACGACCTAGGGTTTCCGCAATGATCAGAAGCGCTCCATGGATCATCAACCTCCGATGGCCCTCAAGCGACCGATCGAATTCCTAATTATTCTCGCACTCCAACCCCGTCGTTCAAATCAATTATAGGAATCGGAAATTTGAGGACGGTGATGGGATCGGAAGGCGTTAGCGATCGAGCCTTGACAAGGGTTTCCTTATGGGGTTTCTCGCTTTCCGTCGCCTTCCAAAGTAAGCCTTGCTTCGAGGGCACCGGAAAGACGGAGAGATGGGAGAAAGGGGTGGGTTGGTATTTATAATTATCATTAGCCTAAATATTCTTTTTTAGGCAATATATTGGTTTTAAGTGGCCCATGGTTTCAAACTCTGCGTTGCTTAACCCATACTATGGCCCATGTTAGTCCCTCTCTATCGTCGCCATTTATAATATAAGAAAAGGATATAATATGGATTTTCTTATATTTTGCACAAGAAAAGTGGAGATTATCAAATTAAATTTAAATTAAATAAGATTTAAAAGTATTTTTTTATTATTATAATCAATACGATAAAAAATCAAAAAAAATATTATGTAAAGAGATAAAATCCTAAAACTAAAATATAATTATTTTATAAATATCTCAAGAATGTATAGATTTTGATAGGAGGAGGATGTCAAAAGATATTTTTCTTAAGTTTTTTGTTATCTAAAAGAAAATATAGAATAATTCTATATACTTTTTATATATGAAGGTATATATGTGGTAAAAAATTTAACTTTTTTCTCACACATAGACGATGAATGTTGAATTCAACTCTTTATATTTGTATTTGATTGTTGATTTGAATATTTTACTTCATAACAAAATTATCAAAAAAAGAGATATGGTATTATTTTTTAATTTATATAGATATTATGTTTTTTTTGTAATGAAAATATCAAATGTACATACTAAATTTTCGTTTTTTTTTTTTTCCAAAGGATAAGCTTCTATGTTTAGTAATATCCTTTTCAAGAATGTACATGAATCAAAATTTAGGATATTCATCATTTACTTTGTAAAGATGAAAATCTAAGACAACAAGAATATTTTATTATAGAATACCTTTTCAGCTTAGATCCTTATTAGCTATCTTCAATTAGTGAATTGAATATGCAAGATTTCCACGTTATTTGATCAATT